GAAGACCTGATGAAGACCTGATGAAGACTCGATGAAGACCAGATGAAGACCTGATGAAGACCCGATGAAGACCCGATGAAGACCCAATGAAGACCCAATGAAAACCCGATGAAGACCCGATGAAGACCCGATGAAAACCCGATGAAGACCTGATGAAGACCCGATGAAGATCCGATGAAGACCCGATGAAAACCCGACGAAGACCCGATGAAGACCCGACGAAGACCCGATGAAGACCCGATGAAGACCCGACGAAGACCCGATGAAGACCAGAGAGAGTGATAGAAACACGTCACCATAGGAAAAGTTTAGTGTGTGGGATCTTCAGACACACTGCACACTCTCCATGCTGTAGGTGTGTGTCTTGTTTGTAGTTAAAACGACTTAAATAAGAACCGAGATGAACTTAAAACCTCTATAATATGATTGTATCCAGTGAGAACATTGTAAATCTCCTTATCTCCGCGTTATCCCTGACTTTTCCTAATGATCACATGTGATGAGACCGACTTGACACAGACCTCCTGCGGTGATCCCCCAGGAGGCCGGTAATGCACATAATCTGACCTAATTTACAACAGGGTCCTGAGCTATTGTGGAAAAAGAGCAAAGAAAGAACTGTTTTTTACTTTTTTAATGTGAGCTTCTATCATTTCTCACTTATTTCCCCCCTTTTTCCAAATCTTTTTAAATGAACTTTTCCGGACAGTGGTCATCCCGCTCCCTATGAACAACCTTGAACAACCTTTTAAAGTTCTCTGAGACGACTGCTCTTGTGATTTAGAGCAATACAAAGATACATTGAATTGAATGCAAGAAGACCGGTAAAAGGAAAATGTTGTTTATAAAGTGCTTTGCTAAAGTATCTCTGTGGTATTGAAACTGGTATAGAGTATCTAGTCCAATCATTGGTTAGTATTGTCACAACAATTACTAGTATTGATTATTTTACTAATACAGACAATATCAGGTTCAGTGCCACTGGATTTGAGTTCAAGATGTGGCGACAGTGACACTGGTATTTTAAAGTCATAACTGTTTGTTTGTTACTTTATGTCTTGTCTGTATGTTTTAAATTGTACCTGGAGTCTAATTAAGTTGAATTTGATTTAATTCAAGACAATAAACTGTAAAAAGTGACAGAATTACCTTAACAAACTTCATAATTTCTTATATAACCCAAACCAGAGCAGTGTTAAGTCCACATGGCTCACAGCTTACAGTCCATCTGCTTGTGTGCGCGTGTATATGTGTGTGTGTGTGTGCCCGTGTGTGACTGAGTACGTGTGTGTGTGTGCGTATCTGTGTGTGTGGTATATCTTCTCCTTTTTCAAAGTGTGTGCGTGTCTTTTGTGCTCTCGTTTCAAGGTTATTGTTGTGTTATTGTTGTGACGGTTCCTCGGGCTGGGGGCTGGAAGTGGACCTCCATCTGTCCTTTATGTCCTAAACCCTATTGTCCTCCGCACCACACAAAAACTGTCATGACCTCACCCCTCTGTCTCCGAGGCCGGTCAAAGTAACACACTCTGACACTGGACACAATCACAAAATCGCACAATAGTATTTTTGTCCATTGTTTATTGTCTTTTTGATTACAGGGTACAGTAAGAGCGCTTCCATTTGACTCACAATGGGAAACATGTCGCAAAAATGGCCTATATTGCGCAATAACAGCAGCATAAAGTATTGAAGGTGTACAAAAAACAACACAAAATTCAAGCAATGTGATAAAACATGTCTGATCTCGATTTGGCAGAAAGGGGTATTTCATTAAAGCTGGGGTATGTAACTTGTTTTCCCTTAAATAATTCATCTTTGTAGTGCCAACAGAAGGTGATTTGTAAAGCAAGTAATCAATCAAACAATCAATCTTAAAACACATTATAAACAGCCTGGGCTTACTAAAGTGAGTGAATGAATGAATTAATGTTTTTTATATCCATCCATCCATCCATCCATCCATCCATTTTCTTCCGCTTTATCCGTTGCCGGGTCGCGGGGGCAGCAGTCTAAGCAGAGACGCCCAGACTTCCCTATCCACACACACTTCCTCCAGCTCGTCCGGGGGGACCCCAAGGCGTTCCCAGGCCAGCTGAGAGACATAGTCCCTCCAGCGTGTCCTGGGTCTTCCGCGGGGCCTCCTCCCGGTTTTTTATATAGACTTTTGAAATTCAGAAAACAAAACAGCAACAATAAAAACACAAAAATAATGTATATGTCCAAATAAGAAGTGAATAAAACCGAAAACTTCTCTTGCTAGCTGGTGTTAAAAGGCAAAGGGTAAAAGGTGCATCTTAGGCAAGGATTTAAAGTATGTCGCAAGCAAATCAGACCGTCTTTGTTGTGGTACAAAACAAATTTTGCAACTTATAATAAAGAGTCCAGTAAGAAATTTTTATTTATACAGCGCCTTTCACAGACCAGAGTCACAAAGCGGTTTACAATTGTGGGTATTTGTGTCTCACTCCACACAGAGATGGGAGCGGGCTCACCAGTACAGGAGGCGCATGCCAGAACCTATTGTGCATGTTTTTAGTGGTAGGGGAAACCGGAGTGCCCAGAGGAAACCTGCAAAGACACAGGAAGAACATGCAAACTCCACTCAGAAAGACCCTGTTTCGACCGGGATTCGACACACACACATTTTACACATATTTTTGGTGCTTTGATATTAAGCTACCCCAGCTTTACGACACCCATTTTTTAATGCAATTCAATGTATTTTTTTGTGTTGGTCTAAATCACACGGTGGACACCTTTACTAAGTTGCTGATTCATCAACAACAGATCAGAGAATCAAACAGTTCAAACACAGGGAATGCAATGATTAAAAAAACACACATTGACTGCCATTGACGTATTTGTCTGAGACCCTTTATTCGACTGGGGATTACAGGAGAACAAAAATAGCTAGAAACAAATTTACTTTTGCTGATGAAAGTAGACAATCCAGTCTTTCAGAATCTGGTTTCACATTTCACATAGTCTTAGGAAACAATATTCTGTGGGTCTTGAGAATCAGTGAAATCATCAAAAACGGCTGGCAGTCAGTGAGTTAAGATTAAGATGAAGAGATCCTTTATGTGTCCCAGAGTGGGGAAATGTCAGTGTTGCATCACAAGTTATCGAACAGTTGGAAAGAGAAGTGAACAATAGCTATACAAATTAAAATAAAACAAAATCTCTAACTCTAGTATCAGTAAAAAGTATGAGAGTAGGATGACCAATGTCTATAATTGTAAATAAATGTCTTTCAAAGTCCGGGATGTTCACTCTCCTTAGACCCTCCTCCCTTTGCCATAGTTAAACATGAAACTAATGCAACATCCCTTACAAGTATAGTATATATAATAGATATTTCCACATATATAGTCCACACTGGAGCCTCTTACAGCCGCTTTCTTCTCACAGTCTCGTGTCATGTGTTGACAAAAAGCCTGCAGTTCATTTAGTCAAAATATGCATTGGTTTTTTTTCACTCGTCCCACATTTGCTCCAACACATAAATCACAGCGGAATCTTTATGACTTCCAGTAAGAGTCTGTATTCCTTCAGCAAAACAGCCTTCCAACTCCCACTGTTTATATTTGATTATGGCTTGCATTTTTTCTCTTTTCCTTTGAGGGATTTGCGCCATATCAGCTGCATAACAGGCGCCAGATGTGCAAAATTGCGGCCCATAGAGAAATTATACGGTTACTGAGGACATAAAAGTTTTTTGAAAGTATTTAAATGTAAGTATTTAACGTATACTTACAATTGCATGAGTGTGTTTAAAAGTAGGTTACTTTAATTTTGAGTTTTACATGAATAATCCACATTCCACAGACAGAGAAAATAAGGGGGGGAGTCACTTGTCAGGCAGGGAGTCTATGGGAGTCGCCCACATCAGCCACCGTGTTAAAAGGACAGGAAAGGGGTTTCACAATTCAGACACAATCCAAGAGAGTCAAGAGTCCAGCAGCCGGCAGGAAGAGGAGGCGTCGCCCTTCAAAATAAAAGCGTAAGAGGGTTATAACTATCTATTTCAGTGTCCCAGTTGGAATAATCGGAGCAGTCAAGAATGGATAAAATGGGGAAAAGAGACCTTACATAGCTGTGATGTTTACCTGAGATTTGTGTATGTTTTACTTGCCTCCATCTTTTTTGTATTTGTTTAGAATATTCTGAATCTTTGTGGGACTTTCTGGTTAAATATAGATACAAAATATATATGTTGTTGTTGTAAGGATTTTGTTGTAAGACACATTTATCGTATCACTCTGTTCAAGATCTATGTCGTCTCGAACTGTTTTCTCCTTCGCTTGTTTTGGTTCAATTCTGTCTTTTTTGTTTATGTTTTAAATGTTTATATTCATATTCATTACGAAAGAAATTTAAAATACAAAAAACATGTTACTCTTTACGGATCCATGACGTCATTTTGAATTTGTGATAGAAGTAAATGAAGCCCAGTGGGATATATATATATAGGATTGTAGTAGCACCAGGAATACCATTACTAATAGCCGTTGGTAATTCTATGTCATTTAGCTGGTACTACATGAGGAGACCATGTGCAAAAACAGATATCTCTGTTTTGTAAATTTGTCAAAAAGCTGAATTCTTCTTGTTTCAATCTTCATAATGTTTTTTTATTAGCAGTAATTTTAATAGGATCTGCTCAAGAAGGGGTGAAGCTATATTTTTTATGGCAAAAAAAAAAAAGTGGCTTTTCAAAAATACCTTTTAAATATGTTTCTAATTCCAGTGTGTGCGATTTAACTATTCATATGATGCAGCAGGCTCTTGTGTGCTTTTATTGCAGCGGGCCGCACGGATCCCTGCCCCCCGCATAGCTACGCCCCTGGCTTCACCTCTCCGCTCGCACAAAACCAGGATCACTGCTCTGCTTCACACACTGCGAGCCCGTTGTCCGTCTCTTCGCGCCGTTTACGCCTTTAATACACGGGAGTAACGGGTCTCAAGGTCCGAGCGCAGAGAACCGGGGCGGGGGGGCCATGAATGGGAAGTCTGCAAACGGGGCGCTGGGGGGCATGGCCTGCATTGAGGGTCTGCCGCCTCTGCCCAAGAGCCTGAGCGGGCTGCTGAACTCCAGCGGCGGCTCCTGGAGGGACATGGAGCGGATGTATGTGAAGAAGACTATGATCCAGGACGATCTGAGCCGCGGGAGGAACACGGAGAGTCTGCTCACGCACAAACCGGCCAACCTGGATGCAGCGCTGGCTCTGCTGCGGAAAGAGATGGTAATATTAATGCGATTTATTTGTGTGTGTCTGTCTGTGTGTATGTGTGGGGAAAGTACTGCTGCACGCCTGGGGCTATCTAATCCTGCCCTTCCCGGTGTCCCTGTAGCGTCAGATCCAGTTTCAAGAGCACTTTGTCAATATATAACTGGGCTTTTGAATATTCTCTCATTCCAAATTCTGCAAATCTAAAGTGTCCGCCCGTCTCTCTCTCTGTCTCTCTTTCTGTCTCCGTGTCTCTTTGTCTCTCTCTCTCTGTCTCTCTCTGTTTGTCTCTGTCTCTATCTCTCCGTGTCTGTCTCTCTCTCTCTGTGTCTCTCTGTGTCTGTCTTTCTCTGTCTCTCTCTCTCTCTCTCTGTCTCTCTGAGTGTGCAAAGATTCTGCTAAGATCACCTTCCATGTCTGTCATACAAGATGTTTCATTGACTTTTTTTTGCATAGATGTACCTCCTTTTTGCTTGTAAGTGAAGGTTTTGACCACATGGCAAGGCAAGTTTATTTGTATTGCACAGTTCATACACAAGGCATGACTAATCACAGCAGATTAAAAAAAGATGAAGATACAATCCCTCAGTTATCTGCAGCTAAACAGAACTGTTTTTAAGCTGGAGTTGAACATTGTCAGAGAAAAGGCCTGTCTCACATTTTCAGGAAGACATTTCCAGATTTAGCAGCATGAATCTGAAACGCTGCCTCCCTCCTGACTCTGGGCACCAGCAGGAGGCCAGTCCCTGTGCTCCTCAGAGTCCCAGCGGGAGGCCAGTCCCTGTGCTTCTCTGAGCCTCAGCAGGAGGCCAGTCCCTGTGCTCCTCTGAGCCTCAGCAGGAGGCCAGTCCCTGTGCTCCTCTGAGCCTCAGCAGGAGGCCAGTCCCTGTGCTCCTCAGAGTTTGACTTGGTTCCTATGGCACTTGATAGTTATAGATAGTATTCAAACCTTTGGGCTACTATCAGGTCTAGATGATGTTCTTGTTCCTTGAGAAGATTGCACAGAATTGCACAGACGCTGTTAGGTTTTGAACCCAGAGTTTTCTGTTTACGAGACAGCAGTTTTGTCCAGAGAACCCCTTTCCTGATCAAATCCAAATGCCAGGAAACTTTAGTAAAATAATCTTGACCTGAAAGCAACTGGAACGACAACTCCAGACTCTATTTGGCTAAAGCTGACGCATGGGCTCAAGATTAGATTGCATCGTGCTTCTTCAGTTGTATGCACCGGCGACGCCAAACACCACCACCGTGTATGGAGTGAGTGAATGTGAAGCGTCTTTGAGTGTCCCAAAAAGCGCTATATAAAACCGATTTATTATTATCATCATTAAACAGAACAGTTTTTTTTTACCCTGATTTGAATATTGTTGATATATAACTTGTCATTTAAAACATTATGATTAAGTCCATAGTAAAGAACTGGTAAAAACAATACAAGTTTGTGTAGCATCGCTCTCAGCTCGGTCTGCTGAGGATCTGTTGTTGAGACATAACATCGGTTTGGTGGCACTGACTTCACTGTGTGTGTGTCTGTGTGTGTCTGTCTGTGTGTGTCTGTCTGTGTGTGTGTCTGTGTGTGTCTGTCTGTGTGTGTGTCCAGTGTGATGTTTGGGACAATGCAGTGGTCGGCCCCAGATAGCGCCCTGTCAGCTGGGTTGTGTTCAGAACAAAGACCTCTTTAATTTGACTTTTCCCACTCCTTTTGTTCTGCTGTGTAATGACAGGGGCTGGATTTGTGACTCCACGTTACAAATGCTCTGAATGTGAAGGAATGCTCAAGTCTGTTTACATTTTGGGTTTTGAGTCTTAACGAGTGCGAAAAGGACTTTGTGTTTTGTGAAGAAGCCGCTCTCTCAGTACGGCAGTAAAAAGTGGGTTTCCATGTGGGTCACAGGGTTTGATCGTCTGAAAGGAGGATGTGAATCTATTTTGCTTTTGTTTCATAGTTTTATGACCTTTGAGGGGTAGGTTATAATCTCGATCTCACACCAAACATGTAAAGTTCATTTGTAAATACATATTGATATTGTAGATATACAACACATGGTGAAACTAGGGAAACTATTGCTTGATTGTATAATTATGTTTATATATTTCCATGTACAAGTGTATATACTGCAAGCACAGAAGGCAACATGTATAAAGGGTCATGTAAATATTGTAAATACATCTGATTGTACATTTTCTGCTCGAATGAAAAAAAAAAAAAAAAAATCAATCAAAGGATACAGGAAGACATGACCGTTTAAAAATAAAATGCTGATTTGAATGAGAATTGCTGTTTTGCTACTTTTTTTCTAGCAATTCTCAGAAAAGCCGTTTTTTATTTTTGTATTTTAACTTACAATATGATACTATTATTTGACAAGCACTGCCTTTGTTTGTTATATTATAGTTTTTTAATCATTGCATTTCTTGTATTTGAACCGTTGGATTCTCTGATCTGTGTTGGCGAATCGACAACTTTGTATATACCTCAGAGAAAACTACTGTTGTGATTTTGGGCGATACAAAATGATTGTATGTGTGGCTGTGTTTTGGAAATTTGTTAAACTGGACTTGGAATCTGTAAATAAAGTTGAATTTAATAATAATACTAATATTTGTGTGTGTGCAGGTGGGCTTGCGTCAGCAGGACATGTCTCTCCTGTGCCAGCTCTGGTCTCTGCACGAGTCCATCCAGGAGTACAAGGGCAGCTGCCAGGACCTGAGCGCCGCCTCCAGCCTCAGTATGATCGAGAACGGCTTCTTCGACGAGGACGACGAGTTCTACCCCGAGTCCGGAGCCACGCCCACCGGGGAGCAGCCGGACGGGGGGGTGCTCGGAGCCACGGCCACAGACAAAAACGGTAGCATCAGCAAAGACGACAGCTGGGACTCTTTCAACGTCACCATCTGAGGCCTCTGTTCTCTGCTTAAGGATGTATTCAACTCACGCCTCACATGTCGTTGCTGTCAGACTGCTGAAGGAGTACTTTTAGGACTCCGCCACTCAGGTTGAACTTGCAACAATCTGCCACAAATGGAGCAAGAGGAACCTACAGACTTTGCCATTTTCAACCTGGCAAAAACACAGTATATCAATCTCTTCTTTTTAATATATAAATCTATATGTTGCGGCCTCTTTATTCAGCAGACCACCGCGACGGCAGAACTTTTATACATGTAATTAAATATATCGACAAAGTTTATTATTTATTGCATTAATATCAGATCTTTAACTCTATATCACCTCCAAGTTTCAACTTCATCCTGCTCATATTCAACACATCGAAGTGGTCCAAGCTCTGGTCTGGGGTTAATACAGTAATGTTGATGAGAGAGAGCACACAATCTGTTTACACTGCAAAAAGTGATAGAAAATAAGTAAAAACTACTCCAATTTGGTAAAAATGTATCGTAATATGAGCACTTTCTGATTGCCTTAAAACAAGATTTAACGATAGGACAAAGCAAAATTAAATATCTACCTTGGAAGGAAAAAAAAATGCAACTATTCTGAATGGGTTTGACTTGTTTTAAGACTGTCAGAATGTACTAAAATTAAGATAAAACCCACTCAATTCAGGCATTTATTTATGACCTCCTGAGTTATCATTTTTTGCAGTGTAAAACCTAAAATATACCAATAACCCGGGACATACAGTGATGCTCTTACGCACCGAGAGGTTGTGGCTTTTTTTGCAGTTTCTGTCAAATGTCGGATGAATGTTTCTCGTGTCGCTCTCAATGCGTTCTCGTACTAATCTCGGCTTTGTCTATTCTACACTCGCTCATTATAACCTTTTCATAAATATGTACCAATACAAAAAAAAAGCCTATTGCCTTCTAAATATCCACTTCTCAGAAAATGTGAAATGTGTAAAAATGCTGAAGACTGGTCGGACAGTCTGGACTCCTGATGCAGATTCATATAATTATCTTCTGGAGACGCCATCTTACGACTGTCTGTAAGTACAGGTCTGTGCTAGCCTGTGCTCTGAGGCTAATCACAAGGGTCTCCAAATGTAATCACGTTTTGCTCAATGTTTAAAGTCTTTAGTGACTTCAACAAACGTGGGTTGGGATTGGTTATTATCGTGAAGAGAGTTTAAACGTTTACTTTGAAGGTGCATTCCTCTACTGTCCTCTCGGTAAGCCTGCTATTTTCCTGGAATCGTCTAAGTCTGTGGTCTCCAACCTGTAGCTCGGGAGTTAGCATTGTCAAGCTATAAACAGTCTATGGTGGAGAGGCCTGTCTAATATGTCAGTTTTTAAGCAGTTAAATCTGTCATAATTAAGGAATGTATTTGTCTTGAAAATATACTTTTAGCAAAGCAATAACATCGGTTACAGGTTATTTGTCTTTTGCAGTAAAACCACATTGGAGTAACGGTGCAAGGCGACACCAGTGTGCACCAGACCTACATTGTATTACATAACATGCAATAACATCGGTTACAGGTTATTTGTCTTTTGCAGTAAAACCACATTGGAGTAACGGTGCAAGGCGACACCAGTGTGCACCAGACCTACATTGTATTACATAACATAAAATAACATATCTATAATTTCACCAAAAAGCGTGTCACTACCAAAACCGTAGAGGAAAGCACCTTTTTAACGAAATCCATATGTACAATACACATTTCACTTTCACACAGGGTACAGGCATTATAAAATTGTCACGACGATATTTAGTAATGTTGCTTTCATTTTGATTCTAATAGCTTTTTTTTTTTTTTAATGGCTAGCTACACTCACTTTGTTCCAGCTAGAAGGTGGGAAGAAGTGGGACTTATCTGGCTTGTTGGGCTAATCGTTAGCGATAGCAAAAGAAACAAGGATAAACAGAATACACAAACCAAAGAAGTGCTTGCAGTTAGATGTGAAGAAAGTTTGTTTTGATGAATGTGGCTTTAGTAGACACTACACTGAAAGTAAAAACAAAATATAACCTTCACCTTATTCCTTTTAACCAATCGACTAAATGTATTTGTATGAATGCTAGTATTTATCTGTGGTACAACTGAAACCAGGCAAAACATTATGACTACCTGTTGTTCTAGTCCATGGGTCTCCAACCTTAACCCTCTTCAAAGTAGCTCCCCAAAGTATTATTTTATGGGTAAATATTACAAAAAAAGCCTACTTTTTTGCAAATTATGACGAATTGTTCTATGGGTATATTACTACACATCAAAAAATACCCCTAAAAAAACAAGATAGAAATTGTCCAAATCTGCCGACATTAATTGGAGAATTTTTTCAAGATTTGCCAATGGAACGAGAAAAATAGTGGCTATATCCATGCTTGAAACAGTAAATCATTGTTTTAAGAAATGTTTTCAAGCCGTCAAAAAGGAGTAGCTCTCTACATACAGTATTTGTTATTTGCCTGGCGGGGTATAGGCTTTGTATTGTCCCCAGTGTTTTCAGAGTTCTTACGAACCACTTTTATTTATTACCGTTTGTAAATGGCACTTGAATGCATCACGCGGTCACGAAATGTCAACGATTGCCTCTCACGACTATCAGATCAACGCCAGTCAAAGTGGATGTACTATTAGTGCCTTGGATTCGCCGCGGACACGGAGCCGCTGCTTGCTGCTCAAAAAAAAAAAAAATTGTCAAAATTAGCAAATGTTTTTAAGCATAAGTTCTGACTGTTTTAGCAACCCCTGGTATCCACAGCAATGCAATAAGTATCTATGGGATCTCTCTATCTACATGCAGCAGAAAAAACAGCCTTAAAAACGTATTGTGTGCACTCTTGGCTTGTATGTGGCTGTTGTGTTACTATTTTAACTACCTGAGTCGAGTATTGTTCTGAAACTCAACTCAAATCCAGCACTAAAGAGCTTTTTTTTAAACACCAGCAACAAGTGGTAATCCCAGTAGCATAGAGGGCTGCACGATTGTGGCAGATTTGCGTTATTTTCTGATCAAGTCTAGTCAAAATAGCGTGTATATGAAGCGAATTCTTCATACACAATTCCCAAATATTTGAGAAAATTTGTTTAGAGTTCTGACCTATTGCGCAACAATTAGCAAGAAATAGAAGATTATTTATAGTTACCATCTTTCTGAGTGTGTATGTAGGTTTTCTCTGGGTGCTTCGGTTTCCCTACCACTGAACACATGTATAACAGGGTCTTCCAGCTCTAGTCCTGATCAACCCGAGCCTCAGGACCGGTGTGGCTGCAGGTTTTCATTCCAACCAAGCAGGAGCGCACCAGACTCCACCCATTTTCTCAAGTCTCCAGTTTAAAAGTCTGGACTTAAGGTGGAATTAGATGCAGTCTGGTGTGCTCCTGCTTGGTTGGAATGAAAACCTGCAGCCACACCGGCCCTTTGACGACCGGTTAACCCCCCAGCCCTAGTAACCATACATAATATAAATAATGTTCTGTGTATCTTTAGTCTCTTTCTTGTCAGCAAAGACTTTTAAGTAATTGGTGTTTGCTAAATGTACTTTTCATTTTGCGACTTATCGTGCAGCCCTTGCAACAAAGCCCTAAAACTTTTCTTATGCGGGTTTTCAGGGGCAATATTGGACATGAATGCTTACACGCTGCATTTTATTTGATTTTCTGTGATGGATGTGTCATTGGTGATGCCTTCTCAGGGTTTGACTAGTGTTTTAAAGCGGACTGTGATCTTAGTATTTGGTGCTGTATTGATTTGCATTGGGGGATGGGTGAATGTTTTCTTCTAATCCACGGTGCAAGAACCTAATCTAAGAGCACAATTTAGCACCATGTTTTGTGTACATCCCAAACCCGACCACACAACTACAATGTATTCATGATGATTGTAAAATTGTAAAATTATTTTTACACCAATTTGGTACAACATTAGGAAAGTCCCTGACAATCTTTGCCTATCACGTCGTCAACTTGGCAGAATGATTATTTGCTGATGTTGACGACCGTCTCTTCTTGTCAGTTTTCACGTTGTTTTGCCAAATTGGTCAAAACCGATGCAGTGGTCAAGCTGTCCACTACGTTTAACACTAGAACTCCCACAGAAGTCGATTAGTTTTAGAAGTTTGTTTGGAATTTAAGGTTGTAGTCATTTTGGGTCGACAGGATTAAGACTATGGAAGTTAAAACACCTGTTGTCCAAGGTGCTGGTTCTGGGCCGGTCTTGGACTGGTTTTAGACTGTTTTTAGGCTGGTTCTGGACTGGTCATAGACTGGTTTTAGGCTGGTTCTGGACTGGTCTTAGACTGGTTCTGTACTGGACCTAGACTGGTTTAAGGCTGGTTCTGGACTGGTCTTAGACTGATTCTGGACTGGTCTTAGACTGGTTCTGGATTGGTCTTAGACTGGTTTAAGGCTGGTTCTGTACTGGTCCTAGACTGGTTCTGGACTGGTCTTAGAATGATTCTGGACTGGTCTTAGACTGGTTCTGGACTGGTCTTAGACTGGTTTAACACTGGTTTTAGGCTGGTTCTGGACTGGTCTTAGACTAGTTCTGGAGCAGAGCTGGTAACCATAGCAACACACTGTTTACTCGCAGCAGTTAGCATTAGCTAGCCTTTCACCAAACTGTTTATACTGTATTTCAAGTTCTATTCACCAGTTTTAGCACTTATTAAAAGTGAGTAAAGGTAAAAACATCCATACATTACTTACATTTACTAAAACGGGTTAAGTGACCTAACTTTTTGGCTACCGTGGGAGTCCGAGTGTTAAAAATGTCTTTCTTCCACACATATTATGCATTTAAAAGAGCCTTACAAACACAAACGGCCACTCTGTGTATACGATGTACGATTGTTGTCTTGTTTCCAGTCCACAGTGACGTGTTAACTGTTGATCCAAGAGACTGTGAACATGAGGCTTTGTACAAATGTGGTTCTCTTTGACCTACTACTGTTTACTAGGATATGCTATCTATCTGTATCGTTTAATA